TGGTCTTTTATGTTGGAGTCTTAGGCCGGGAAGGGTAGAGCATTTACTAAGGTCACCGTGGCAGGGAAAGTAAAGATCTTTGAAAACCCACCAGAGTCAGGCGCCCCCTGGCTACACGGGCACCAGGTTCTTGGCCTGCCCGCACTCCGCCAAGGCCCACTTCCCTGGGGAAGGCAGGAGACCTGGAAATACACGTTCTTCTTTAAGGGGCATTTTTCAGTATTTTCCTACTTCTGTTTTCTTAGGTTTATAATAATAATACAAAGAACACAGCTACCTCATATAAATATAATATGATTTAGTGATATGAAAATGGAATGTCCTATAATTCACCAAGAAGACAGATCCAAACATGCATATTTTGCTTTTATTTATTATTTGGAGAGCTTTTGTGATACTTTATGAATAGCAGGGTCTCATGATTCACAGCCTGCTATAGATGTAAGAGCCAACTAATGAAATGTGCCATTGATTTCCTTTTTCTGTCTTTATGACCCTATGTTAAATTTAAAGGGGAAAAGAGATACATTACATTCCAATTCTAATAATAGCCCCCAATGGGGACCAAGTGGCTAAGACAATGGGAAGAGAAACCGTTCAGCAGTAGGATCTGCCCTGAGACTAAATGAAGTGTGTCATGGTCACGTCATTTCCTGAAATGAAACATGGAAGGAAGTTGATTCCTTCTGGTCAGTCCCCAAAGAACACATGCCACACCCCCAAGTCATGTCCCCAGGTCGTAATTAGGTGTCACTCTCTATAGAGAGCTCTGGGTGACTGAAGAGGTAGTACTTTTGATGATCCCCAACTTTAGATTTCCCGGTATTCACATAGAAAGCAGATGCCTTCGCTGTCTGTTTTACTGTTTCATTGGCTTATACCGGGCGTTGAGTTCAGCCTTTCAGAATGAATAGGGCACCATTAGAATGCAGCCCATTTACTAATTAAAATAATGTTCAGAGGAAAAAATAAAACAAGTATTGAAAAAATGTGTTTCGCAAAGAAAAGAGTTAGGTAACTAACGCTTTTCACGAAAACCTGTGACATCACTGAGGTAATTCAAAGAAAAACCAGAGTACTTATAATTAATTGCATTAATCATGAAGACTAAATTTATCCTCAGCCTCTACAGTGTGCTAGGTATAGAGATGTTTACCCAGGAAGAAATCTAACATGGCATTCTTCTCTGCAGATGTAATTTTCACTTGACAGAGTGTCTGTTCGTTTGGGAGGTGTTTGCTTTTCATTTATCCACTTAGAGTTTTTTTATCCTTTTGGAAATTTATTGATTTGGTTTGTGAAATGCAGTCAGGAGAGAAAAGACTGATTTGTGATAGGTGAACTTCCTGAGCAAAATATTTTTCCTACCCACCTCTCTATTCTTTTCATCATTATCTTTTTTTTAGGTATTATGGTATATAACATTATATGAGTTTCAGATGTACAGCATAATGATGCCACAACTGTATATATTGTGAGATCATTATCTCTTATCAATTAGTCTGTGTAATGTAAAACACAGAAATCTGAGGCTTCATTAACCTCACAATTTGTCAACAAATTATCATTATAATCATAACACATATAGATCTTTCAATTTTACTTTTAGAGAATTGCATTTTGACCCCTTCTGTCAAAAGTGCGAATAGGATGAAATGCATGATCTTTGGGTATAAAAACGACATCCTCTTTCAGACACTGCAGACACTGGAAAGCAGTCAGCAAAGGTTTGCACTGTGGAAGCCATGTCCCGTCTTGCCAAAGGATAAATAAAGGGCACTCATTCATCAGCTCGCAAGCTGCCACCCCCTTTTCTTTTCCGCCAACCCCCACCTCTCCCTGAAGTTGGGAGGAGGGAGATTCTGAGTATTTTTGCCTATTTCTAGCAGAACTAGGCATGAACAATTAAATTCAGGGCTTCCCTGTGGTCTGTGAATAACAGTGCACAGTGCTAACCATCAGGGCACAAAGGCAGACAACTGAAAAAAAAAAGGCTTTTTTATTTTCTGTTTACCCTTCAGGACACTGTTTACCTTATCACTAAAGGGGAAGTTATCATCTCATCTCTTTTGGAAATTGTACTGGTTTTATGTCAGCCTGGGGTGAGGGGATTAATATAAGGCCCCTCTCCTTCCCTCACGCCCCTGACCCCGTGTCTGTGTCTCTGTGTGTGTGTCAGTCCCTCCGTCCGCCTGTCTGTCCCTGTCTCTCTCTCTGTCTCGGGCTTTGCTGTCCCTCGAGGGCACTCCCACTTCTTCATTCACCCCGCACGATCTCATGCTCTTTTCCTTGATTTTTCTGTCAAATCTTTTCCTTTCTCTCCACTTCAACCGGAATGATTTTTCCCCTTTTCTCCCTCTCTCTAAATTTACTTCACAGCAGATTGTCTTGTAGTAAATCACCAAAAACCCAAATAGCACTAAAGCATTCTGATACAACATTAGCATTTGCTTAACAAGCACAAGATAAACATTAAACAAAGAACTGCATTTCTTTATTAGAGGCTGCAAGATACATAATCCATGAGCACAAGAAACATGGGACCCAGTGGATATGCAGATGTGTGTTATTTCATTGGCGCTGGGCGGCCTTGTTAGAAAAGGTTTTCATCTGAAGGCTTGGGGGTGGATGGTTGGCTGTCCCTGGTGGGGCTGTAACTAGATACAGAGACTGTTGCAAGCTAGGCTGGGCTCCCTGGTGGACGTGCTGATTGGACAGCCTGAGGAAAACTTGGGAAGCATCGGGAAGTGAACTCAATCACCTTGGGGATGATAGGGTAGAACCAGATGAAGGCATTTGACTTCTTTTGTAACTCCCACTAAGGACAGATTGCCAGTGCGATCCAGCCTCCATAACTGCAAATCAGGCCCTTTCCCCTATGCCGATTTCATTAGAATGGCCAGCATGGTGCAAAGAGGAAAAGAAAAAAAAAGGTTAGACACAGTAATTTTACAGGCAGGCGGGTACAAAAAAAATCTGCATAATTAAGCAGTCAAGGCTGCTAATAGGGGAGTTTATATGCTCTGGGACCAGGCAAGGGCAGCACATATGGATATAGCACTGGATATTAAATCTACGGCATGCAGACTTACTTCAGGGCCCTCAGAGAAAAGGCTAATTATAGAGAGAGGAATTGTGTTTACTGGTCTGTCTTGGGCAAAGATGGTGAAAGAAGTGCAACCAAGTTTTGCAGTTAGACATGAACAGGCTGTTAATAGAGATATCAAAATATGTGCTGGTGGCTCCTTCCTACCTAATCAACACAAAATTACAGATTCTGCGAACACGCCCCCCCCCGCCCCACATTACCTACTATAGACAGAACACTCGGAGTGAAGTTTCATACATTAAGTGTAGGCATTATGTCAGGATGCACGGGATAGGGGTGTGTTTATTATTAAATTGCCACAATTTAATCTCAGCTGTGCTCTTTATCATCAATAAATTTTATTTAGCAGTTTAGCTAGCCCTGTTTAAAGATGTCAGTGCTTCTGGGCATGAGCTCAAAGTCGGCACTTAAATATAAATGGGGATTCTGAGTGGAGGATGCGGTGGGCAGGGGCAAGCCTTCCGAGAAAGGGTGTGTTTCTGGAAGGGGCGCTGATGGGTGGACATTAACATTTCATAATGCAGATCAAAGGTAAGGAAAAAACCCAGAGGCCCCTTTGTCACGGGCCCCTAATGACCGCCTCTGAGATGATTTCTCCAGATTATTAAAGAGATTCATTTCATATTTGTATGTATGTATGCATATACGTATACATTTATTTATTTATTTATTTAACTCCCTACGAAGACCATTTTCGGAAGAGGACAAGCGAGTGGGCCGTTTGCCCTGGGCCGGATATGCCGAGGCGTGCCCGGTGGTTTTGGGGAGCCAGGGCTCCCTGCAGCTTTCGTTTGCAGAGAAGCTGTCTGGACCTTTTGTCCTTTAGGGGAGCTTCCCCTGGGAAACAGCAGCCCTCGCCTGTTACAGATGTGCAGTGATGGGCTCCAGCCATTTTCCGGCCTGGTGTGCATTCCATTACTTTCCCTGGCCCCCGCCCGCCCGCCCGCCCGTCAAGGAGGGCCATGGAAGAATCCCCCAGCTCAGCTCAAGATGCACTAAAACCTGGGGCTTAGGAAAGTAAACAGCATCTGATCAGCCAGATATTGGGTCAGGCTCGCCTGACATCTGTGCTCTTCTTAGAGGCAGGGAATTCAGTGCCGATGAGAAGATCCAAGTCTGTGCCTCGGAAAGTGAGAGTGGCAGAAGCTAATGAATGGGCACTCCGGCCCCTTCAAATGAGGGAAAGCATCATGTTGGCTCAGAGGCTGCTGTGTGCCCCCCTTCTTGTCCGCTCAGGGATGCCCACCTGACCAGGGGGGTCCCTTTTCCTGAGAACAGCTGGTCAGACATAGCATTCAGTTAAGAGGATAAAGCTCTTGAGAGACTATTATCATGCATATACCCAAAGCAGATATTTCATGCTGAATTTCTAAAATGGATTTTCCCCCTGGCAACTGTTGCAAGTTATCTGGGCTTCTGAAATCAGACTGGTCCTCAGAAATTTTTCAAACTCATTGACTTTTGATATCTTCTGGTTTCTAGAGGTTACAATGAGGTGGCATTCTAAACAATGAAAATTGCAATTGCTCATAGGTTAGTAGGGACAGAGAGGCTCAAATGGAATGCAATACCATTGGGAGGACTTATTAAGACCATTCCTTTCACCCTGTTCTTTCTGCTTGAACTTAAAAGTGTAAATGAAAGTTTGTAGGGAGAACTCAGTGCAGGTGTGATCACACCAGGAAAATGGCAGCAGCCAAGTATAGACTGTGTAGGACAGGGCCTGGGGCCATTTCTCTGCCTCTCCGGGGAAAGGAAGTTGACCAGAACCCTAGCTGGCAGTGAGGAGGCCCTGCTAGAAAATGCAAAACACTATTTTATAGATAGAAATAAATATACAGGACAAGGCTAAAGACACAGTGGCTTTTATTTTTTAACGTTTGGGCTGATCAAAAGTATGAAAGCTAAGACAAGAGGCATGTCACTGGTAGAACAATGATACAAATGTGAAAATCTATAAATCGAGTTGTTTGGGACACAGAGAAGAGCCAGCCATATAGTCCCATCCAGTCCATGGGTGGACTCAACACCCCTTACCATGCAGTAGCTTCCCATCCGCCCTGTCTCCTCCCTCCCCCATTCTCCCAGTCTCTCCCTTCTGGTCTTCCGTCTTCCTTCCATTCGTTCAACGACAATTAAAACACAGTTGCATTGAGAACAGACCAAGTGAGTGATAAGGGCACGATCCAGAAGGAAGGTATCTTGTAGAGGAAATAAGGTATGTATTTATGCTGGGAGGAGACTGTGATAAATGCCCTAAGAGTCCTGGGCAGTGTGGTGGGAATTCGGGGGAGAAGGTAACTCTGAGTGTGGGGAAGAGACTTGGCAGGGGACCAGCGCCTGAGGAAGAGCAGAAGGTGCAGCGGTTCTTTCCCATTCAGTCTGTGCTCTTCCTTGTTTCTGGATGAGTGTCCTGCGTCATACCAACACATATGCTGAGAGGTTATCTAAACATTAGCCTTCCTCCCCTTACACACCCCACACATGCACACACACAATTGGGTTGAGGAGGATGAAGGAAAAAAATAACTAATATTCTTATGGCAATGCCTTGAAAGGAAGAGGCTTTCAAACGTGGGTCATTTAACAGCATTAACATCTTCTAGGTATTGTTTTCAAGTTTATCATTACCATATGCTAAGATTTCCTCATAAATTTCTGCATTTGGTTGAAAAGGTCTCTGCCAGATCTGCCCAAAGAATCCACACGTCTGTGGGTCTGACCACTGCTGCCCTTGACAGCCCTGCAGTGTCTGGGAGCCAGAGGGCCCGAGAGGCAGGCCTGGCATTCCTGGAGGCCGAGCCGAGGTTCCTAGTCCCACCAACCACATTCCTCTGGACAGTCTCAGCGGGCCTGCCCTTGTAGCCACTGTCTCAGTTCTGCCTCTCAAGCCCTGCAAGAGCCAGAAGTGCTCTGGGGTAGCTAACAGCCGACTGCGGAGGAGAAAGCAACGTCTGTGGAACTCTGACCTCCCCTCTCTCTCGTGTCTGATCTTCTCTGCCCCACAGCCTCTTGCTCCTTTGGCTTCTTCCCTCCTTTTCCTCTATGGAGGGGAGGGAGGGAAACCTAGAGGAACAAAATCAATAAATGAACTCTAAAGAGTAAAAATATTTGATGTACTTTAACAAATGGAGCAAACATTTATTTCATATTTAATAACAAAAGTAGCCGATCTATACCAAGTACTGACCATTCTCCAGGCGTGGTACTAGGCACTTAATATGGATTATCTCCACTGAGTCACTTCTCAGCAATTGGTAGCCATGGTTCAGCTAAGGCAAGGTTACATACAAGGTGAGATCACCCTGTTTGCTACTGGCAGGATGGGCCAGTAGCAATCACCCACCACTGAGTGATTGCAAAGCCCGACTTTTTAAAATCACCTTACCGTGAGGCACGGGAAGAGAGGCTTTGCAGGTAATGTCTCTGATGACTTGCATAAAAACTGTCTCTTCCACCTGCTCCAGTGTAAGGCAGTTTGAGCCTCTGGTAGAGGCTTACGCTTGCTAGCACGCTAGGCCTAGCAAGTGCCCGCCACACATACGAGGAATTGTCCTCCCCTGTGGGAGCAACTTTCAAGATAGTAGAAAAGCGGCAGCTTACAGAACTGGACTCAGTGATGGCCCGCGGGCTATCAGATCGCAAACCTTACTCCAGAATAAAATTTTGTGTTTTTATAAATTAGAAAGGATTTAGTGACTTACCAGTCCATTTCTAAGTGTGCGTTGGAAATTAATATTTAATCAATGTGCAAGGAGGCTTAATTGCACTTGTGACCTGCTTGCTTACATATTTGGGAGGTTAGAGACGAAAATGGAGAAGATGCAGTAGATGCATTATACTGCCGAGTGGAACTTTACAGTCGTGCCAGGGGACCTTTCGGTAATGTTTGTAATGTGCCACTATTGTGATTTAGGAAAGAAAAATGTTACTGCTGGGCTTTAATTTCAACGGATTTTTTTAAACATCAATTAATGCAATCAAACGTAGTACAGGGAAATCTGTCTTTTTATTTACATTTCTGGGGGCCGGGGAGGGTTTGTTTATTTTTGTTGACTCCCATCATTTGAGCTGAACAGTACATGGTTTTCTTGGTATTTTCCGAATCAACTCAGCAACTTACATTGAACAGTTCAGAGGTTCCTTGTGAACCTCTATACACGAGGAAGAGAAAACAGCCTTGGAAACTGGCTCCATTTCTTGGGGCTCAAATGGTTCTGCCTTGCTACACGCAATTTGAAAATAATGACCTTTTTGGTTTTAAAAAACAGATTTAGTTAACGAAATGAATCATGCCAGTTTTCTTACCCATACCAGCGAATTTGAAATATGCTGTTTCTTCATGTATTAGTCAGATGTTGGAATGCCAAGTTTTCAAATCAGTCTTGATGAATTTGAAAATAATAACAAAAAAAGGAGTATCATCTGTTTAGCCTTAAACCTTGAAAGGGCACTAAAATAAACCATTAAGATGATCAGAAAGGTCCATGCTGCAAGTACATTTTTCTCATTTTCTCCCCAGTGTGACTCACTGTCTTAACTGAACACATTAGCAACACAAGCTGCCGGGTGATCTCTTACCCACCTAGCGCAGGGTCCCAGTCGACGATGGCGTCTTAGATTATTTAACCTAGAACTTGGTTGAACATTAAAATTGTTTTCTTTTCTTCTCCCTAATCTGGAGCCTAGACCCAGCTCTGAGCCCAACCAGTCAGTCAAGCTCTTTCTGGGATTTGAGTTACCTGGGCCCCTCGATGTTTCCGAGCAGATGAACAGAGAAGCAATGTATATAAACCCATACCACACATTTTGAAAACTGTGAAATGCTATATAGATATCAGGAATTGTTATATATATAACCACTCTAAAGTCGAGATAGTGGGAGGAAAATGTACCATTTTAATAGTCTTAATAATGATAGAAGCCTCCTGCTTGTGGAGACTTGAAAAAAAAAAGAGGAAGACCTCACTCTCAATTGTGTAGACACTTCATCCAACTCCTTGTGCTTAAAAGTCCTGTTGGCTTGAACACAGAGAATGATATGCGGTAGATGAGGTAATAAGCAGACCTAATTGGGTGAGTGAAGGCCAGTGACTACTTTGATTTGCAATTTCTCTGCTGTTATCACTGTAAGACAGAATTTCTAATATTCATTTCAAAAGACAGATGCCTAGATTCTAGGTCTTCTGGTTGCAGTCTTCCTCTTTCTCACGCACTTCCCTTCTGGGGAGGCGTCCACCTGTGTCGTGGGGCCGTAAGTAAAGTAAGAAGGCTGAGAGTGGACCAGCAGGACCGAGGGTCCTGTCTGGCACTTCTCATCAGTTACGTGCTGTCTGCAAGTGCACTGTGATAGATGGTCATAGTTACGTGCAATTTGCTGAGCTTTGATTTTATTTTTCATTCTTTGAAATATAGGCCAATTTTAATCCAGGAAACTTCTCAATCTAGAGAAGAAAAGTTATTTGTTCACTGTACATTCTTCTCTAAATATAAGTATCTATGCATGGTCAGTTCTTGTGGTTAGCTGAAAATACAGTAAACATGCCTACTTTATTCCTTTCTGCACATTCATACAATGCTAATATGTGTTTATGCCCTCTATTTTAATTTCTAAACTGTCTTTCATCCAATATTCAGAGAAAGGAGGGCATGCATTGCCGGCTCCTCTCTGACTATTTGCCTCCTAGCTTATCCAACTGTTACTATCCTACAAAATTATACAAAGTATTTGCTTTTCTCCAGATTGTTAAATACAGAAACTCTCATGCTAATCTCTGTCTTTAAGAAACCAAACATTGCTACTGCTTTTCAGAAGCAAAGGAACAGGAGGAGGCCAAGACACCTCCCTGGGTCACATTTTACCCTGGACTATTTTATGTTTTTCTTTACCAAGGATGAAATTGATAAGAGAGCTTAAAATAATTTGCTTTCAGAAAGGACATAAACCTTACAGTTGTAAGAATCAGATTTCTGCTTAGATCATTTAAGAGAGTATTGGAAGTCTGTGCTGTTTGTATAACAACAATTCACGCAGGCATGAAGCAGAGCATTTCAATAAAAAAAAATGTTTAAAACCATTGACATATTTTAGTGACATTTTTCTCAATAGATTTCCTTTTGTGTTAGGAAATTATCAGCCTTTGTATATTGACACAGTATACAATATTTAAATTTTTAAAACGGATCTTGAATAAGCCGGTTTGGGTTTTCAAAAAATTGTCATAAAGATAAGGGGGATTAAAAATTTATTGTGCCCAAAGCCTCTTCATAATTTGCCATTACAGTCTTAGAAATATTTAATAGCGTTGCAGAATGTAATAAGAGGAATTGCTGTCTGCGAAAGATCTAGCCCTAATTATTATGTCTCATTCTTCATTTAATAGATACTTATTAACTAATAAAACCATTAATCCATGGGTTTTGTTAGGCCTATTTCAGTCGTTAGCATTGGTTTTTGACCTAGCAAAACACCTAGGTCACTGTTACTTCTTCACTGTTTCTTCTAAGCCAAGTATAAATAAGAAAGAAATCTTGGTTATGGTAAGTATCTGTGACCTTTCTTCCTCTTTTCCTTCCTCCCTCACTCTATCCCTTTCTCCTTCCTTTGCCCCATCTCAGTAGATAATAACTCTCTCACTTATGTTTCTCCTGCCTGACAGGGAACAGACAGAAATGAGTGTGATTCATTAGTGTTCTAGTAACGCCCTGGCTTCAGCATAGAGAGTCTAGATGTATCAGTGTGTCCAGAATGATGCCCAAGAGAGAAAAGTAGGTTAGGAACATATTGAGGAACCTATTTCCATACGTGAGCACGGAGTTGCCTTTTAGTAATCCACATACTTAGGAATACGCATGCAGTCCCAGTTTCTTCCCAAGTACTCACTTTGGCAACGTTCCAGGGAATGATTCGGATGCTTAAAGAAGTAGAATTAACTATAGGAGGATAGAATTAAGGAATCAGTCTTCGTGAATAATTATAATTCCGTTAAGGAGAGCTCAAGCCCAGTCTCCACAGGGTTTCAAGTGACAGTTTAACCAAATCACTGGGTTATTGCCATTGAGAGAGAAAGCATCAGCGTTCAGCCATGGATGCCTTCTGTGTTCGAAGTTCTATAATCATGAGTGTTTTTTTCCGATCGACAGCTCAGACCAGAGGGCTATCCCCAGAAGGGTGTTCCTCGCTCCTCTGCAGAATGGGGAGATGGGGGGATTTCGTGTTCCCTTACCAACAACTGCTGCACGTTAGCTCAGGCTCTGCTTTCCCAAAGGGAGAGGAGCATGTTCACAAGGGCAAGAGAGATTGTAATAAGTAGTTGCTTAGCAAACGGGATGGAGTGGGTGGGAACGAATTCAGGCTTTGTCTCGTCAGGGAGCAGAGGGGTGACCGGGTGGCATGGAAAGATAAAAACTCCTAGAGCATCAATAAGAGACTTAGGAAGACGGACACTTGCTTCCTTAAATGACAGCTGAAATTGTTGTACTTAATAGGGAGGAAACTTTTTTTAAGTGAGGGTTTTGTGGGACAGTGTAGCAATAGATTTCAGAACCCTGATCCTGGCACTGGCTATGGCCAAAAAGCTTTGCTGCCCTGGACATGCCAGGTAATATCTCTCGTCTCAGTTTCTCATCTTTTAAACGAGCCCAGAGTTAATCAGACTGTCTCCAAAGCCCCTTCTAACCTGGACTTAACATTCCAGCATTTAGACAAATATATAACATTTACCCTTTCTTTCTGTCCTACACACTCCTAGCATATTGCCTCTCCTCCATTTTACGTGAAAAACCACAGTGTTCTGGGGTCTTTGAAAATACTTGAGTGAGCAAATACAGGTTTGTGAAGTATTTATTAGAATATTTCTTAGTGAAAGGATAATACCAAATTATGGTCAGCCAACTCTCCGGTGCATTTACAATCATGTTTCCCGCATCATTTTTCAGATTTCTCTCAGCATTGGGAGCATTATTTGTTTTTGGCGGAATGTTAATCACCTTATAGGAGTTTTCTGTCATCCTCTATTTTTCTTCAAGCATAAAAGCTCTATCCAAAAATACCGTCTGGAAGAAGA